CTGGCTGCGGACTGCGACGCGAGTGGCGGGAGGGCAGCCGAGAGGGAGGGGCTGGATGCGGGGTTGGATGCGGCGCTGGCGGCGGATGAGGAGGGGGCGGCTGTGTTGCTTTGAGTACCAGCAGACTGGGAGAGGTAGGCGGGAGGATTAATGCCGGTGCCGGTGCCGGTGCCTGTGGAAGAAGAGGAGGAGGAGGCAGAGTTGACGGCATGCTGCGAGGAGCCAGACCACCTCGAGTACATCTCATGCGGACGATTGTGGAGGATGTTGGAGGGATGGTAGGTGCCTGACCAGGAGGAAGCCTGCGCGATCGAGTACTTGAGCGGAACGTTGGGAGAGCCGAGGAGCTGGTGCAAGGGAGTGATGGCATCGCTGGCGTCTGGTGGGGGAGCGAGCGACGACATGGTGGTGTGAGCGCACGACGGAGCGTGGCCTGGCCTGGACAGCACGTGGACAGCACGAGGACGGGTGAGCAGAGGCGATGCGGATGGAGTGAATGCGAGATCGACGCCGCTTCGTGGGGGTGAGATGGTGGTGCGGAGAGGAGCAGCGAGGGCGGCCCTCGCACGCGTCGCTCGAGGCGGTCTGTGTCGGCACATTTGGCGGTCAGTGCAGGCCGACGCCAATCCCGCCTCGACTGCGCTGCGTCCCGGCATGTGGAGTCGAGCTGACGATCCCGTGCATTCAGGGTCCAGCGCGTCCCGATTGTAGAGTGACATCGGGCGGAGTCTGCCGATCCAAAAATTGAGATTTCGAGGGAGCCCACCCGAGCGAGAGATGGAGTCTGGAAATGCAGCCGGAAATCAAGGCATCGCAGAGATCATCCATCGCCTTGGAGCGTCTGTCACTTGCTTGCTTGCTTCTGTGAAACGCAAGCTGCCGTGCCTAGCCAAACAACAACAAGATGGCAGACGGGGTGGCTGGGCAGCAGCATATCAGGATCCAGCAAGTTGAAGGCGATCGATCGGCACCCGACGATGCTCCGTCAGCCAGGATCGGAAGATCGACAGAAGCCTATTGTGTGCGAGTTGGCTCAGTCGATGCCACTTGCCAGCTCGATCAAACGACCCGAGCCGAGTCGAGCCAGGTGGGAGAGGATGTGGAAGGCCCGACAGCTGCGTCAAATGTGCTGCCGGTCAATTTGGAAGCGGCAGCAGCAGCAGCAGCAGCAGCA